AAAAAAAAAAAAAAAAAAGTAAATGGTTAAAATGATATATTTTGTTACATATAATTTGCCACGATAAAAAATGCAAAAAATAATTGAATAAACAAGGTGGTGGTTGCATAACATTGAGACTCTAATTAATGCCAACAGATTGTTCAGTTACAAATGGTGAAAAGGTAAATTTTATGTTATGTACATTTTTTTCACAATTTAAAAATGCAAAAAAAAATGTGTTTTACTAAATGAAGTGGAGGTTGCATGACATTGGGAATGTACTAAATGCGATGGACGTAATCGCTTTTAAATGATTAAATTTAGGTTGTGTGAATCTCATTTCAAGTTTTTAAAAAAGGAAAGAGAAAAAAAAGACCCGCCAGCTAATAAGAAAATAGTCTCGGCCGGGCGCGGTGGCTCACGCCTGTAATCCCAGCACTCTGGGAGGCCGATTGTTTGAGCTCAGGAGTTCGAAACCAGCCTGAGCAAGAGCGAGACCCCGTCTTTACTAAAAATAGAAAGAAATTAATCGGACAACTAAAACTATATAGAAAAAATTAGCCAGGTCTGGTGGCGCATGCCTGTAGTCCCAGCTACTCGGGAGGCTGAGGCTGGAGGATCGCTTGAGTCCAGGAGTTTGAGGTTGCTGTGAGCTAGGCTGATGCCACGGCACTCTAGCCCAGGCAAAGAAAGAAAATAGTCTCATTTTAAAGGAAGAAATTAGTTGTTCCCCAAAATGTCAGTTTTAAACAATAAAGGGTGGTATATATAGCAAAAAAGGAACACGTGAATGAGATGCACACAGAAAAATCTGTACATGGATGTTTTCACAATGGCATTATCCCTAACAGCAAAATGTGGCAGGAACGCAATGCCCATCAACTGATGAACAGATAAACACAATGGAGTCGATTCACACAGTAGAATATTATTCAGCCATAAACAGGTACGAAGCCCTGACATACGCTATGACATGGATGAACCCTGAGGACAGTATTGCTAAGGGAAAGAAGCCAGACACAAGAAACCACATAGTGTAGGACCCCATTTATAGCAAATATCCAGCACAGGCAAATCCACAGAGTCCAAAAATAATTTAGCCTAGTGCCCAGAACTGGAGGGGGGATGAAGGTTTGTGGCGTGACTACTAGTGGATATATGGGGTTTATTTTTGAGGTGATAAAAATGTTCTCAATTCAGATTACGGTGATACTTGGACAGCCCTGTGCATACACTCAAAACCATTGCATTGCACTCTTTTTTGTTGTTGTTGTTGAGACAGAATCTCACTCTGTTGCCCGGGCTAGAATGCTATGGCGTCAGCCTAGCTCACAGCACCTCAAACTCCTGGGCTCGAGCGATCCTCCTGCCTCAGCCTCCCGAGTAGCTGGGACTACAAGCATGTGCCACCATGCCCGGCTGATGTTTTCTTTATATTTTTAGTTGTCCAGTTAATTTCTTTCTATTTTTTAGTAGAGACGGGGTCTCGCTCTTGCTCAGGCTGGTCTCGAACTCCTGAGCTCAAACTATCTGCCCGCCTCGGCCTCCCAGAGAGCTAGGATTATAGGCGTGAGCCACCGCGCCCGGCCGCGTTGCCCTCCACATGGTCAGTTTCATGGTTTGTGAATGACACATCGATAAAAATGCTAAACAAGACTTGTTTTAAATGAATGAATGGAGAAAGGACAAAATCCTTCCGCAGGAGAGAAGGTTTTAAGGCAGGTCTCCTTAGACAAGGTGACAAAGAGGTTCCCCCCACTGGTTCCCACAGGCAGTGGCTGATGGGGCACAGATCTATGCCCCGCCCATCGCCCCCTCAAAATAGCCCACAGGAAGCCGGAGAGGAGGGCGCTCTCCAAGGTCCTGATCGCAAACCCTCTCTCCGTGTCCAGGCCATTCTGGGGTGTCCCGGGACGGGAGAGGGAACCTGGTTCGTTCAGACCAGGGTCAGGTGGCTACTGGCGTGGTCTTGCGATTCATTGGAATGAATTCAGGAAGGAGGCGAAAGTCGACGTGAACAGGTGAGAAGAAGGGTCTAAGGTGGGTTGCTGGGCTCAGAGGTGAGCAGAGGAGACATCGTAGGGAGGAAGGTGGGTGACGGGACAGAAATGAAGAGAAACGAAGATTCAAGGTGGCCATAAAGGGCAGTTAGTGGGGCCCAGGAGCCTCCTGCCTCCTGCCCACCCCCAACTCACCCACGCAGGTCTTGCCATCACTGCTGGGCTCAAAGCCTGCGTTGCAGACACACTGGAAGCTGCCCTCCGTGTTGACACAGCGGCCCGGGTGGCAAAGGCCACCATTAACAGCGCACTCGTCCACATCTGGGGGGAGGGAGGCGGGCACTCAGGAGGCGCCTCCCACCTCACCCCCCCAGCCCAGGCTCGGCCCTCCTCACCGTCACCCCCACTCTCAGATGGATGGATGGACGGCGGCCGTACCCACGCACGCCTGCTTGGTGAGCGCGGCCTGGAAGCCCTGGTGACACCGGCAGTTATAGGAGCCCGGGGTGTTGACGCAGTCACCATGGGGACAGGGGCTGCTGGTGCACTCGTCCACATCTATGGCAGAGGACCCTGAGCTCCAACCTCGGCAGGACGTGCCACCCCCCTCCACCCGGCCACGCCGCTCACCAATGCACTCGCCCCGCACGTCCTGGGCGTAGCCCGCGCTGCACTCGCAGCGGTAGCTGGACGGGGTGGGCAGGCAGCGGCCGTGGAGACACAGGTTGGTGAAATGCCGGCAGATGTCAATGGACTGGTTCAGGGCGGCTGTGCCTGCGGGTGGGGCTGGTGGGAGCACCTGAGCACCGGCTGGGCTTTGCCCCGGGACCACCCACCCGCTCCGATGCTAGGACCCTGTCCCCCTACGTCCTGGAGAGTCCTGCCTCAGATTCAGACCCCAATCCAGAGCCTAGACCCACCTCAGACCGCTATGCCGGGCCAGACTCCCCTTGCAAAGCCCCAGTCTGCTCTCTGATGCCTGGACCCCTCCCCTGCCATTCAGAGCCCCCTCCTCAGACCCAGGCCCACCCCCTGGTCTTGGAACCTTCCCCAAAAGTCTCAGGCCTCACCAGTGTTGGGGTTGCCAGGGCCCAGGCTGGGGACCCCACGCCCACTGGACACATGGGGGCCGTGTCGCGCCAGCCCAAGGCCAGGACCCGCGCCATTGGACCCGAAGCTCGGGAGGCCAGGGAAGAGGCCAGGGCGGGCAGGCAGCAGGGGGAGCCCCTGGGTGCACAGTCGCTGGAACTTCTCTGCAAGGAGGCAGGGGTGAGGCTGGGTCCTTGAAGCTGCCCTGGGTCCCCGATCTAAGGAAACAAGCTTTACTCACCAGAGCCCCGAGGAGGACACAGCTCAGGGGCCGGCCCAGCTGCCCAGCACCTGCCCTTGTCACAGCAGCACTGCCTGCGAGTGTAGTGGCCGGCGAGCTCTCTGGCACAGCGGCCCCCGAAGAGCGCTGAGAAGCAGGTGCCTGCCCGGTGGTCTGCGGGAGGGCAGAGCGTGGGGCCCGTGAGCACAGGGTGGGGAGTCGGGGGACATGAGCTACCAGACCTGGATCCAAATCCCACCTGCACCAGCACTGCCTGTAGGACGGGTCTCCTTGCCTCTCTGTGCCTCAGTTTCCCCATCCATAAACCAGGGACATTCTGAGTACCCACCTCACCTTGGAAGAGTGTTGCCGGGATGATAAGTCTGGCCCGTGGCCAGTTCTTACTCAGTGCCATCTTTTATTACCGAGATTTCCAAATGATCACACGGAGGTAGATTTGGGCTCATTCCAAGCAAGTGTTCCCATATCCAAACCTGGTACTGGCAGTGAGACTCCTGTCGCTGCAGGTATTCAACCACACTGAGGAAGACCCTCCTTGGTAGGAAGTCAGGCAGAGACAGTAAGATCTATAGCTGCCTGTCCTCACTTGCTGGCCTTGAGCATTTCAGGGAAACCTACAAGGCTGGGAATTTCAGGGCCCCTGGGGAGAACGAGGCAGAGGCTCCCCCTGTATGAGAACCACAGACCTTCTTCCGCTTCCCACCATGCCCTGGAGTCCAACGGCTTTACACAGTGATCCGATTTCTCAGGCTCTGATGAGAAGAGCGTATTTTAAGGTTTAAAAACCCACAAATCTTGGCCAGTGGCTCACAGCTGAGAAACCCCTCCCATCAGCCGGGAGAGCCGCTGGCGGCTGCCCCAATCCTGCTCCCAGCTGGAAAGATACGCAAATGTTTCCACCTCCCCAGCCCCACCGCGTGCACCTGGGGGCCCCCCAGATACATATGTGGGAGTCTCGGTTCTTTCCTCCAAGGGGCTGCCTAGACGAGGAGAGGTCAACAAACCGGTTCAAGGTTACACAGCTGCAAAAGCGTGTGTGTTGGGGGGAGGCTGGGAGGGGAATACTTGTAGCTCTGACTCAGG